ATCATCATTATTTAAACTGACACTCAAAGAGCAAAACCTCAGCTCAAATATCCAAAACTCTAAACACATGTTCAGCTCTGCACCCAATTTGCAATTCAACTTTTCACTTTTTGAAAAGTAAAAGTATAACAACAGTATATTTGTGTTTCTGCACATATTTTGGAGACTTGAACAATCTTTATTTGCAGAATTCTCTATATCAAACGCCATGAAAACAGTGTGCTTGAGCACGATGGTGTGTAGTTGGTTTTACAAAATGTCTTGTACTATGAATGAAGTGTGCGCCATTTGGTGCAACAGTTTGGTTTTGGTAAGTGTTTCTGTAGTTCTGGGTGCAGTGCTTAAGTCTGCCGTATATATGAGGTGTTTTGCACTTTGTGTGTATGGTTTTGTGAATTGTGTTTAGTGTTTTGAGAAAATAAGCCCTGCTTTCAAAAAATGTGTTTTAGCATTGAAAATAACTGAATAATGTGTAATATGAACACAATGTTAATCTATCTCTGTTATGTGAGGTGATCTCTGCAGCATGTACTTGTTTTTCACTGGGTAAATTGGAAACCTGTAATAAATATAATACTTTGCCCTTTCAATTGTTTTTTTCAAAATGTATTTACCCAAGCTTAATCAGTCTGAGTTGCAGTGCCAGTCTCTGGTTTAATCAGTCCTTCTTCTTCCCCAGTGGCTCCCAGGACTGGTGTGGGCTCTTCTAAAGATGGTATATCAGATACCATGCTGTAGAGATCAAGTAGTGATGGATGACCTTTTTCTGGCGCGTTTATAACTGGCATGTGTAGCAGGGGAAGGTGCTGTAATTTTCTCGTGGCCCAATTTCACAGACGGTGCCCAGTCAGGATGATTTTTGTCAAAAAGTGCCACTTGTAGGTCAGTTATATCCTGGGTGAACTGTTAATTAATACAAATTTGACCTCTTTTAACAGGACAAGTCAGACTTTAGATATATTTAAAATGCTGGTGTCAAGACATTGGACCATGACCAATAATTGAGGAAACCAAAAGCCTCTGAAAAGATACCAGGGACTGTACAGCCTTTACTGTTTACATATAATCAAATGGCCAGTAGGGGGAGGAATTACTTTAAATTGCAGTTAAACGAAGCACTGCAGGGGATTGACAGACTGGTGTGAAGATGACCAAGGGATGACTTTACTTTGTAGATACTCCACAATCTGATATGTCGATCGATGACAGACTACAGGATTCCTATTTCCTTGTTAAGATGCATGTCTTAGTACGTGGGTTATATGTTCATTTTGAATGTTTGTATGTAAAACCCGACACTTACCTGATGTGAAATGATCCCCACAAACGCGAGTATAGTTGTGGTTGGATGGTTTGAGATCCTCCCATCCGATCCTATTGAGCAATTTTTCCTGGCGACGCTTTGAAAGTTCATGTGTTGCTTCACCCTGGTGTGTTATAATAACCGCCGGCAGCCTGTAAAATGACTTCGGCCCCCTGTTTCGATCACCTCTGTTGCCGCAGCCAACAATGGCACAGAAGTTAACCATTGTATGTCCGGTAAAAAACAAACATTGAACAGGTATGACGTATTACGGTGTCTGTTTTGGTACTCCAGTATGGCCGTTGCGCTGACTTCACGGGTAACGTGACGTCATATGCAAAGCCTCTATTGGGAGGACCGGGAGGGTGTGTGTATGTGTGGCCCGAGCGAGCGAGTGAGAGACCTTCCGTGCATTGTTGTTGTTAGCATCTGGTGCTAGCTAGCTGCGCTAACGGATATAAGGAGCTGTTTAAATGAAAACAGAGGAGCGACATTTCGCCACAACTGCGCCGAGCACTTGACTTTATGCAGGAAGCCAGACAGTGGGACATTGTACGAAAAGTCAGCACACTCAGCACGGATAGTGCGCAACATGATTGCAGCGTCCAGGCAGCTCCCGTTCGAGCATATGCCTTGAGTTGCACATAGCTCCAACGATCCATCACTCACACACACACACACACACACACACACACACACACACACACACACACACACACACACACACACACACACACACACACACACACACACACACACACACACACACACACACACACACACACACACACACACACACACACACCAGTTGTATTGTATTATTGAATGAGAGAGGTTCCAGGTTGAATTGCGGCGAATATTTGTAATGTTCAGAGGTTGTTGTGTTTAATATTCATGAGAATATTTGTCATTGTTCAAATGATAATAAACATTAGCATAAAGCACATTTGCGATTAATCGCGATTAACTATGGACAATCATGCGATTAATCACGATTAAATATTTTAATCGACTGATATAAATGGATCAGGACAAAAAGAGAGAGAATCTTTTTTCCTGAAACTTTCAGAATCTCTTTCCACAGTGGGGACACATGTTTATGTATAAAAGACATGAGAAAGTGGATTTTGCACAATAAGTGACCTTTAAGATAAATCCATACACTCTGAATAGTGATAAGTATTTATAACAAGTAAATAGGCTTGCTCAAAAATGTGGCTTTGAGGACACTGTATAGTTATTACGGAGTAAACAAATCATTGTCTGATCAAAAAAGGAGACCATATGTGTTTTGCTAAGTAAGTATCCTTAACAACTTATGCTATATTCAATTAGTACTAGCCGGACAAAATTAGAAATCACATCAGTACTGTCCTCTGTGCATTGTAGCCTGTAAAGAAAATACCCAAATAAATATATCTACAGAGTTTGATAAATATTATTACGATGTATCAGCTCATTGTTTACATAAAATAATAATTCCAAGAAACATTTTTGGTAAAGAGCAGGGCTCTTCGAAAAACTTGAAAACCAAAATTGATGAAATAAGCAATGAAATATTCTAAAATAAAATATTGGCCTGGCTCTAATATTTAGTGTTTTTGTTTGGCTGCTTTTGAACACCATCAATTGTTTATTGCACAGGTTTAACCAAACCAGATGTTTTGGTAGTATGGTAAAGCAAAACTTGAAAGCATTTAAAGAATACTATCTTGTATTATCAAAAAACGGACTTTGAAACACATTCATGTTAATGTGTAACTAACTTCTGTAGACATTTGTACAGTATTTAGCTATTTAACGTAAAACCACAGCTTTCAACATTCCACTGTAGAAAATCAGTGTCTATTTATCATGTGAACCGTTATAACACAATGTTAGCTGGGATATGAGAAAGCACGATACCTCCCAACTACAAAATGTGGCTTTTATATTTAAATTAGTAAGCAGTGAGTAGTCCTTATTTAATAATCAAACAACAAACAGGTCTCCCATCCATGTCTTGTTCAGAAAGATGTGAACAACACAATACAAGTTAAAACACTCACATGTGAGGGGTATAACCGGCTGTTTGGACATGTCCATCTTCAGAGGATCCACCATGGCCTTCTTGGAAGGAATGTATTTCCTAGGCTCACGAACACCTTTATCCGTTTTCTTTGCCTTTTTCTCATCACACTTAGATTTTGCATTTGTGTCTGGTACCAGTTCTGAGGGGACGCTTGGCTTTGAAGCTGAGTCAGTCTCGACCCCTGCACTGTTAACTGAGGGCTCTGTCTGTGGCTGGACAGCAGGCTCATTCTCCGCTGCCTGAGTGACTGGCAGGCTTGCAGGTGTTTCTGCTGTTTGCACCTCTGTCCCATTTTCCTGGGGCGTTACAGTTTCAGTCATAACAGGAGCTGCTGGTTCATCCTTCTCTTTTTGCTCATCTGAATCACTCTGTGCTGGCTGAGCTTCAGTCTCGGTGTCCAGTGGTGGCTCCTGGGTTGCTGTGGCCCCAGGGTTTGGCCCGATCGGTGACTGGGTCGGACTCTGCATGGCTCCCTGCTCTTTGGCTTCTCAAAAGCAAGTGTAGCAATTCATATGTTCCTATGAAACCAGGTACCACAGAGAAACACATTATGACTGTTAATTACACAGGTAAACCAACACATTCACTGAGACTCACACAAGATACCAACAATGTTTTAGTAGTAGTAAAACCTGCTTTATAACAAATGATTCTATCCACTATTTGATTTGTTCTAAAAGCAGTGAGGGACCTTTGTGATGTACAATGCGCCAGCTGGAGGACCAGGGAATGAATGGGTTTAAAACATGTGTATTACAAAATAAAGACGATGTAGGGCAGCCGTTAAATGCTAGTTTATAAGCTACATTGTACACTCGTATTTGTATGAATCGTGTATGTGTACAGTGCTTGAAAATATTGATATTATTGAACATACAGTTACGCAGATAGCGCAGTTAGCTTATTATTTTCACTAATATACAAGGAGAATACGGTTGGAAATGTTAGCGTTTCCGACCCGAAACAGCTCCAAAGAAGCTAAATATGTAGTCACTTTCTACGTATCCCATGATAATATCCCGTATAGCTTTATGAATGCAGGAGGATGTAGATTTAGATTACCTATGCTTTTTCGTCCGCCCAAACATCTCTGCGTCGCTCTGCACAAAGCCAACAGACCTGCAGACAACGTGACGTCACTCCTGAGAGGGTCGCAGAGGAATCATGGGAATTGTAGTTTTTTACCACAATCAGCCCGCCACTCATGCAGGAGTCCTACGCCCACTCTGCTTAAAGACTACAATACCTCAACTATGTTTAGAATACAAAATAAAATGTATACTTTTTGTGTGATGATGTTTTAAACTTGTGGACATATGCTTTGTTTTTACTGGCACACCTAATTTAAATAATATCCTAATGTTACTTTTACAGATTTTTATCTTTCACTGTCAACATGTACATATTTCACTTTTCTGTTCAGTTTTATTTTCTAGTTTGAGATGTTTAAATGTTATGCACAGAAATCCTGCACACGTACCTTTGCTGTCTTTTCATGTATGGATATATATGTTTACCACTCTCAGATATCTCAGCCGTTCCTATAATACTACACACACACACACACACAATTGTCAAAACATATATGGTATTATCCAAAAACACATACAGACTAACACAAATATGTTGAATGCATTTCATTTTATTTGGGGTTAAGAAGGAAAGGGGAAGTAGCTTTTCTTTTGCAACACTTTGTTTCATCTCAGTTTACATATCAAAATCATGCATTCAAAAACTGTAGTACAATCTCATAGCATCAGACACTAATAGTTAATCTGTTGTAGAAACTCCTTATCATCTCCCCAAGGACATTATACATATTTAAATGTAACAGTGGGTTAGAGTTAAAATCATTCTCAGCACACTAGATAATAAGTATCAATTCTACAAGTTCATTTATCAACAATTGCTAATTCACCATATTTCTTTAAACAGTAAAAAATGCAAAAATAAATGGTCGACAAAGTAAGAAAAAAAATGCTTATGTGAGCCTTCCACCCTAAATATCTTCAACATCATCGTGTGGTATCGGCAGCTCCCCAGTAGCATGCTTTACATAATGTAAATGCAGTTTTGCCACTTCATCAAAGCCCATATCACATTCAACACATTCCCACTCCCAATACTTGTGTTCTCTGTACATGTTATTTTCTGGTGATTCACTCTCAGCCAGCTCCTGTCCTGTTGGGGGCTGTACAGGTTCTGATTTCCATTTGTCATGTGGACCAGACCGAGCAGACCCTGGTGGTTTTGAAAGCTTGAAGTGATGTAAGGGCTCCCCACAATCGGACTCTTCAGAGCTCCCATGATCCCCAGACTCACAAGGCTGTTGAGTTTTATTTTGCTCCACGTATGTATCAATTTCTGGCTCCTCTTTGACACTAGCCAGATAATTGTTCCTCCATTTATTTCTTCGCTTCCTGGAACCTCGAAGCATCCCGTTGAACCCAGCATAAGCTCTTAGATGCTTTTTTCGGTGCAAAAGTAGATTTCCACGTTTGAAGAAGCTTGCCCCGCAGAATGTGCACTGGTAAGGTTTCGCTCCACTGTGGGTTTTGTAGTGGATCCTGAGCTGTTTTGATACGTGGAAACTCTCGTGGCAAATATGGCACGTATGTTTCATCAGAGTGTGACTGCGCATGTGGTTATCTAGAGAATCTTCATTTTAAAGCCTTTGGCACAACTTAAACACCAAAACGGTTTCTTTCTATGGAGGACGACATGATTCATCCATGACTTTATCGACCTGAAGTCTATGCTACACTGATCACATCTGGGAGGTTTTGATTTGGATGGCCTGTGGACTCTCATGTGACCAAGAAGCCGTGCTCGCCTGCTAAATGACATCCCACAGTCCGGACACTGATGCTCCTGTAAATTAGGGACACTTGGTGGACTTTTAGTTGTAGGTGGCAGGTTTTCATGCAGCTGTAGGTGTTTCTGGTATGAAACCAGATATGTATAAACCTTCCCACAGACTAAGCAAGTATGATATTTCCCAAATTGCTCCTTTGTTCCGGCGTCCCGCACATCTTCAGTAAATCCTGTGGGTTGTATCTGCAATAAACTGCTTGTGTCACACTCATCTGCTTCACCATTAATGTCTACATCTCGGCTTTTTCCATCGACTCCTCTCACAGAATCCAGTTCTGACACAGGACTCATGTCGTCTCCCATCTGGGCCTCTTCCTCCTCCTCTTCCTCCTCTCCCTCTTCCAGGGCATGTTGGTGCAGGTGGGTCTGGTAGATGTTCCATTGTGTAAACTTCAGTCCACATTCCTCACATGAAATGCTGTCCTGTTTGACTAGAAAAGAAAAAAGGAGCAATTAATTTAACAAAGACAAATAAAATGTCATGAATTATAATTTCTCAATTCTAAATAAACTCATTAAGTTGTTGTATAGTATATAAAGCAAACTAGCATATATCTTCAGATTTGATTAATATATTTTTTTAAATCGATGATTTTCAAGCTGACATTTTGCTGTTTCGTAACAGATAGAAAAAAAGCGTTACTGTTAAAGTGACCAAGGTTTAACTGCAGCAGGTACAACTTACAAGACTGAGATGTGGCTCTCCTCTTCGTCAAGTGAAACAAATACAATGTTTAGCCTTGTTGAGCTTGTCTGTAAAATAAGGAGACCATCTGTGACCCATCTATGGAGCCTGGAGAGCACCACTCAAATAAGTATACCACAGCTGCTCAGACTTATTCTGCTCAGACTTAGGTGGCACATTTCTTCAATATGCATTGAAATTAAGACTTCTTTAAATGTCCAAATACATGAAAGCAGGAAAGCAATGTGATAGTTATGATTAGAAATTAGTACATTATTTTTCAATTAACACAAAAAACGAATAATTTCAGACATTAAGTAAAAAAGCACCACTTATTGTCAAATCAAAATGTTTTTTTAGGTTTATAATGCATCAATTAACTTTACTATTATTTAACACCAAAAAATGATATAAATGTTCTGCTGGAAACTATATCCATAATATTCTCTGTGTGAAATGATTCAATGTCTGATGTCAAGACCGATGTTCTTTAGTTGTTAATGACTAAAAACGAACATGTGACTTACAAGCCAGGTTTTGAAATGACTGGTTTCGAGTGGTTAGGTTTTGAAATGTAAAATTGTAATATTACACACAGCACGCCCAGTGCTTAGTCAAAAAAAAAAAAAAAAACAATTCCACAAACATTTAGATTAACAAAAATAAAGCTATATGAATCACACAACCCAGTAATTCACGTTACACGTATCAAATATTTTAGTAACTTTTATTTTGCAACTTTTTTTTAGCTTTTTTTTTTTTATTTGGAAACAGCAAGTTAAACAAGTATAATGGTCATCTAAGAAAAAATGTTTTTCACAAATTAATAAAACAAAGTAACATCTTTTCTATAATCCAAATACTTAAGTGGCACAGTAAACAAACAACTATCCTACATGAACTTAAGCACTATTTTAGTTTACATAAGGAATAGTATATCCACAACAAAGAAACACAATACTGAAAAAGAAAGAGCATGGGAGCTTCTACATCAATTAATGCTAAACTTTTTGTACATAACTTACAATTATTTGAAATTTAAATGTGTTTTTTGGTAGTTAATGGCTGTGATAACCTGTACCTCAGGTATTTAAAGGACACAAGCAAATTCAGTATATCTTAGTTGTGCAGAAATATTTAAATTCATAATCTTTGAAAATATGTAGCGAGTCAGCCGCACTGTTCAGATTGATGACAAACATGTACGCATATATGTTTCCAATCCTTTTGTTATATATCTAGATATAAACTACCATACTCAAGTCAATTTTCACCAAAAAGATAACCACGGTTCAACTCTTCACAATTCGAATCATAATGGAACAAATCAACCGGTGGCTCAAAATAATTGTGACATTACAACATAATTTATATAAAGAGGTTATTTTTTAAACATTTGCACAGTTACCAATCCAGTGTAACGGATGCCTGAAAAGAAAATACATGTTTTTTTTTTATATATAAGAATTTCAAATAGTCTACAAACAAAAAGGAGATGCCTACTTTCTACTTAGCCTAAACACATTTCTATCTTATAATTATGCAGTTGAACATATTTAAGTAGTTTGGCATCCTCCAAAACAATCTACAGTGTTTTCACTTCAGTCCTTTTCAGGTTGTACAGTATAGTACACTCCATGGGCATGCTCCATGTAGTGCTTGTGCAAATCAGTTTCTTGACAGAAAGTAGTTCCACATTCAAGGCAAGTAAGGCTATCAGCATCTACTGAGGAGACGGCAGCAGGAGCATCATTCTGCCTTTTGTAATCACCAATACATTCCTGGTGATGATCGATAAGGTCCTGTATTTCACTGAAGGTCCTGGGGCAAATGGAGCAATGATACGAGTCGTTGTTACAGTGCTGTGTTTCGTGTTTTTGTAATGCAGTTGGTGAAAGAAAGGCTTTGCCACAATGTTGGCACTTATGGCTTTTTTGTGACTGGTTCTCTGATGAACAGGACATTCCCTTTGTGTCAGTAGAGGGGACGTTGGCTTTTAAAGGCTTTAAGGTCAGAGCAGCGCCAATCCTATACCGAACCTCGTTGGGTAGACGACAACGGACTTCATCGTGCCAGGCGAGGTGTTGCTGCAGCTGATTCTCAGACCAAAATCCGATGCAGCACAGGGCGCAACAATACGGGCGGCTCTTTGCCTTGGTCTTATGGGTTCCCAGGTGTTCCTCTGTTTGGAAAGCTTTCCCACACTTATCACACTTGAATAGGCATTTTGCCATATGCTCTGATAGACGGCTTAGTGGTGGGGAAACCTCGGCTACGGTTTCAGGTGTTTGGATCTTCTCTTCCTTTATCTCGTGGCACACTTTCTTATGGTCAAACAGGGTCTCTGTAGAACTGCACTGCTTCCCACAGTCAAGGCAGGAAACATATCTTACAAGTGGGGGGGCTGCTCTAGTTTTCTTCATTTCTTTGTCAACATTACTAATTTGTTCTGTCCGTTTGACTTCACTGCTTGAGGCATTGTTTTTTATCTTCAAAATGATCTTATTTTTACTTTTTGTCCTTTTGGAATGGGCCTGCCATTTGTGGGCATGCAGACCTCTTGCCTTAGCAAAAGTCATAGAGCAGATGGGGCACTGGTGAGCTTTTGGCTTCGATATTGATGACATTAACTCACTCCGACTGAAGTTTACATCAACCTGTTTTGGTTCCTGGTCAACCATGGCGAGCCCGTCTTCTGCATGATCGGCAGTTTCTAGTGTGTTATGCTCATTTTCATAGTGGGCAGCTAGAAGAAATTGTTGCTCAAATGTTGTGTTACATTCTAGACATACAAATGTAGATTTGTTCAGTCTGCTATGGCTCTCAACGCTTTGGTTTGAATCGAGCTCTGGCTCCGTTTTTGTTTGACACAGAGGGTTAAACATCTTGTGACGCTGGAGAACACGACGGTCAAAAAAATGTTTGCCACATTTTTGGCACTGAAAAGGTCCATCCTCTGATTTGCTTTTAGCAGATTTAAATTCATCATCTTTTAGCAAGGACCGTGTTAATTTCTTTTCTTTGTGCCATCTTCTGTGGGAGCCGAGGGCCGAGTTAGACATGAACCTCCTCCCACATTCTGAGCAGTGAAAATGTCCTTTACTTGGCTCTTCCTCTTTAGGTTTTTTAAGCATTAGAGACACAGCCATTTTTGCTTTTGCTTCAGATTTGTCATCATCAGCATGAATTATTTTATGAAAATTCAAAGCTCCAGCCACTGAAAAGCTTCTGTCACACTTTTTGCATTTATATTTTAAATTTGTTTTGCTTGGGTTGCCTGATTTGCCTTCACCCGTTAGATTTTCTAACATTGGTTGCACAGTCTCTTGTTCCTGCTTTACTTCAGTATGTAGTGTTATTTGCTCAGAGCTTCCCTGTGTGCCAACATCCATACTGTCCTTTTGAGTATATTCATTTTCTGAGGGTTCTGTCTTAAAATCAACTACTTGACTTTCTCTTTTAATGCAAAGTTTGCGATGAGCCCGCAAAGAAGCTTTGTTGTTAAAATGTGCGAGGCATGTCGCACACTGCAGGTCCTCCAGCATGACAGTGGATCTTGGCGATGATGGCGAGTGACCAGTTTCGTACCCATGGCTTTTCATGTGAAACTGAAGTGCTTTGGCCCGTGAAAACAGCTTCCCGCAGTCAGGACAGCTGTATGTGTTCTTTTTCAACTGCTCTACCTGATGCTGAAAAGACTTAATGGGTGGTGGGAGTAACTCACTATGCACAACCTGGTGTCTGAGAAGGCTGGAAAAAAGACGGAACGACCTGTTGCACAGTTCACATTTGTGATTTCCGTTTTCATGTTTTCGCATGTGCAATGCCATAATGCCCTTGTGACGGAACTTTCTACCACAAACTGGACATGCAACCTTGGGCCGTTGGTGTCCATTAACAGAGTGCAGAGATCCGGGGGCACCTTTTCTAAGCCTTAAATCTGTACACTCAGTCTGACTTTGCTTGTGGTGGGAATAAGCTCCTAAAGACCAAAACCCCTTCCCGCACTGTTCACAATGATAAATCTTTGGGCCTAAAAGGGTCTTTTTTGGATTGTATTCTTTTTTACTGACCAAAATATTCCCCTTCTTTTGTGCCGAGCAGTTTTTCACATGGTTAACAAAACTAGCTGCATAAGAATAAGACATCATGCAATCTGGGCATTGATATGGTTTTTTTTTGGGATGATGCAGCTGATGAGAGACTAAAGCAGACAAACGTGAGAAGCTTTTACCACACTCATTGCACACTAGATTTTTCGTCTCTAATCCTTCTGATTCACCATCACTGTTTCTTTTAGGATTTGTGTGTTGTTGAATGTGACTGCAGTGCGCTGCATAGCTATTAGATTCGTGGCCACATGTGTCACATGTGTGAACTGCCACAGACTGACCTGGATTCTGCTGTTTTCTCTTACGAACGCCATGCCACATTCTGTGAACGCGCAGTGATGAAGCACTAGAAAACCAACGATAACACTCTGGGCAATCAAATCTTTCTTCTGTCGTTTTATTCTCGGCTTCTTTCGCTATCAGTGCACATTGTTCATCAGTTTGCTCAAAGTCAATTTCTACAATTTTCAAATCCATCTCTGGTTTTAAAACAAGATTACTGGGGGAAACTCCAGTGTCGCCTTCATTTTTATTTTCCTGATCCGATTCACACAGCAGCTCAAGATCAGGATTAGTGTCTTGGGCGGCCTCATCCTCAGATTCACTTGCACTGATCACCTGAACAATAAAGTCCCCAGGGTCATAACTGTCCAAGTCTTCATCACTCTCATTTGCATGTGAGTCTTCTTCAACCACACTTATAGGAGGCACATTTTCTGATGTCACTTGTTCTTGCTTAGTCTCTTTTCTTTCGTTATCCAAAGTTTTCTGTTGAGGTAGCAGAGAGGTACTCACATGAGACTCCTTCTCTGTTTCTCCATAAACATCCGTGTGATTAAGCTGATGGGAGTGAAGTGCTGAAGCCCTCGAAAACTTCAGTCCACAATCTTTACATTCAAATGCCTTTTTCTGCAGCTGACAGACTTGGTGAAGAAACGACTTTGCTGGGGTCTCCTCACTATGCGCCATGCGCTGATGCCTGTAGTAGAATGTTAGTGTCATAAATACTTTGCCACATTCCTCACATGGGAACCTTTCCGCAGAATCATCAGAGTGATTGGCATGCCATCGCTGATGGTTAAAGAGGGCAATATGTCCAGTGAAAGCCTTTTTACACTCATCACAGTAAAACTCATTGCAGCTTTTCTTAGGTTTTTCTTTCATTTCTTCTGGAGAGCATAGACTGTTGCGGCTAAATCGTTGATGTGTTTTAAGGCGCATCATGGCAGTAAAAGCTTTACCACATGAACACTTAAAGGTTTTTTCAGGAGTAACCTCAGGAGTCTGGCTTTCACCGGGCTTGGCTTCAACGATTGACTCCTCAGTGTGAAATGCTTCTGCTGAATTCTTGTTTCGTGACTTGACTAATTTTCCTTCATGACAACGACGGTGTGCATCGAGAGCTGAAGCTCGAGAATAATTCCGCCCACAAGACTCGCATTGAAATGACTTCTTTTTCAAATGTTCAAGATCATGAAAAACAGATTTGGAGGCTTGTCTGTGTGAGCGCTGATGGTTGAGGAAGTGTCCGATCACAAAGTAACATTTCCCACATTCTGCACATTCATAGGTGTGTTGCTTTGTTATCCCAGAAGTTATTTGAATGCCAGACTCCTTTTGCAAGGTTTGGTCATGGCACTTTTCCATATGCGATATAAATTCACTTGGTTCCACAAATGATAGTGAACATATAGTACAGAAATTAGTTGTTTCATTGTCCCTTTCTGCATCATGTAAACCATCCAACTGTTTGTCTAAATGCACACTTTCTTGTGGGTGCTGATGGCGATGCTCCAAGAAAGCTGCCTCTTCTCTGAAGGCTTCTCCACAATCCCGACAGCAGAAAACCCCAACCCCTAAAAATAGAAAGGGGAAAAGAGGAGGTCAAAGCCACCTACTGTTTCCAGAGAAAGAAAGACAAAAATAACAAAAACACAGGTGCAAATATCTTTATTTTAAAGTGTGATTAAAGTGTACAGAGGGGCTAATACATTCAGTGCTAAAGCCAAATGACCTTTGTGAAGTTCAGTTATTTAAAAGGGTTGCTGCAGTTTTGCATTTTTAAATAGCAAAATGTTACAAATCGCCACATTTCAATACATTGTGGTGCATCACCAAGGGTCCCGCAAATGCTTAACTGTAAATCGGACTGCAATTGTAGTAAATATTTTGGCAATCATTACCAATTTACTTTAAAAATACTGATAATATCTAAATCGACAGTCATGTTTTTGAAATACAAAGATTCGTTTTGAGTGACACAACTCCTTATTGTTCCCTTTTAAAGAACAGTAAACGTTTTTTTTATCACATTGCCATTATAAATTCAAACAAAAATCCCCCCCCCCCCCCCCCCATGATCCATAATTATTAAGAAAGTCAGTGTTCTAGAGAACAACCCCAATAATTGTATCGATTAATTTCTGAATTCTACATCTGTGCATTTGGCTGAGCATATATGAATGTAGGTACTTGGAACAACCCCAAAGGAAGAAATGATGTTCAGAGAGGAGGCAGCTTTCATGGAGATATTTAAGTGCCTTGCTTTGTCTCTCAGAAACATCACATTAGGGTATTTAGGTTATGATGAAACAAAAAGATTACATATGTATATAAGATCCACTATCAAGCTCAGTGTATAGTTGAGCCTCATAATGCAGTGCTTCAGTATGAGGTGTGTTCATTTTAGGCCGAAATAGATGACTATACTGTGCTTGATGTCATCAGATTTCAGAAGATAATATTTCAATGTGTTTAACCGTTTAAAACAAAACAATAATAATTACATGTAAGCTTTCATATCTAAGGTTTCCCAGCTTGGCGTGGTCACAAGCTACGGTTAGCCTTTTCTTTCACAACACTACTACTGCTGCTATTTATGCATTTCTTATATGATTCTAAATAAAACCAGATTTACATACTGACAACACCTTTACATCTACATTCGCTTGTTTAAGGACGGTCGCTTGGGTTTTCAATATAAACAGAAGTGAGCATCCATCAATAATGAAATATAAAACAGGCCAGTGGGTGGATCTCCGACAATTGAAATTAATGCAACATGCTTATTGTTAATGGTTCGTTAGTATCGTTATTCGCAGCTCTTCCGCCCAGTCTCTATGTTCCTGTCCCTGCAGTTTGGGTAGGAGGTCACCACGCCTAAACACAATAGTGGTGTATTGATCATGCTAACCACGTTAAGCTAACTGACGGCTAAAGCCGACTCACCATCTGCGGTGTCCTCAGCCGATGGATCAACGTTGTTTTCAGATGTGGTGTCTCCATCGTGGGTCTTGTTTTCAGCTCCGTCCTCTCTGATCTCTGCAGCAGCTTCGTCCATCTTGGAGTCTTTCCGTGTGGTAGTGCTAGCTTCCTCTTGCTAGTGCTCGTTAGCTTAACAGCGCCACAGTTGTTTTTAATGTGTTTGTTGCTATTATTATAAATGACTCCGCGCAGAACTGAGGTGAAAAATAAAGAATATACTAATCTGTCACATAACAAGGCAGCAGCATGTAATGTTTTTAGTGAGGGATGGTGAACAGCTAGCTGTTTTTCACACATCACACATGCATCGCTCGGCGGAAGTGGATTCTTCTTCGTTGGTTTTGTGAAAGCGCAGAAAGTCTGAATGTAAAATCTACAAAATAATGTTCCCCCCAACACACTAATATAAAACGTTGAAATTATAATACATGAATTTATAAAAAAAACATTTTTTGGACACATATATAAAGCATATATATATGTTTTGATATATATATATGAGAAATATAGAGTTAAGAAACTTTGCATTCCCTCATTATTTTACGAATTAGTAATAGGCCTATTGTTTTTTTAGGGTTTCTAGTCCTATTTGATTTATTAATTTCGTACAGGAAATGTGGAATAGATTTACCATAATTTACCATTTCTGTACTTTTGTTTACAAAATAAAAATTATCCAAAACCTTAAAAAGCTAATGTTAACTATCTTTACCTATTGTTGAAGAAAAAGAAATGTGTGCAGTATATAAAATATTTCCAAACCATAATTAAAATGAATTTGTATTAATGAATCCTCTCTAATAAGAATGTTGAAATGCTGTATCTTAACCCTGAGAAATAGTGCACATCACAACATTGTAGTCAAAGGCAGGTTTTATTTAATACAATATGTAGACATCATGGGAACATTTTAATTATTTCCATGCTAAAACAGTGGATAGAGGTAGAAGGGGACATGTTTTTGAAACGTAAGACATTGAATGTTAAGAAAAACAGGAACAGGTTTTATTTTTTGTACAAATGGACTATTTATTATACAGTAGTAATGAAGATTTACTTGTTGGGCCGCCAAACCTACTCAAATGCCCATTTTCACAACGGAGGGGGAATTCTGTAATCAGCTAAATCTATAGTTATGGAATTATATCATTCAGTATTCACAAAAAAATACATTGCATTGTACTCAAAAGTGGACTTAGGTTACATTCCAATCTGAAATAGTCATTCTGGTCAGAAATGACATGGTATTCAACAGTTAACAGTAGCCTAATTATAAAGAACATCAGTCATGAATTCGACTGGGCTGATTGCATACATTGTATTTGTCAGTGTTATTTTTTTTGCCATTGTGATAAATATTAATGACAACAGTCACACAAATTCAAGTTTCATTTAATAATGTCACTACCTGACAACCGTTTTATCAATATTTGTTTAATGACACGTTTTTCTGTCTTTTCCCAATCATCACTTTAACAAATGGTCATGATGAAAACTTAACTTTTGTGATATTTGGACCCAGCCAATAGCCATCAACCCAATCCTCTCCTCCTCAGAAGCAAAATGTCTACATTTCTTTACTATGAGAAAGAATTCCTCTGTGTTTTCGGAGTGAGGTCACATTGCTGAGTCTACCTTAAGCACAAACTAGGCCTAAAATACCAAAACAATAGACATGCAGACTGTACTCATAAAAAGGCACACAGTATACTGTACATGAAGAAACACAGTTCAAATGGTTCAGGCATATGAATAGAGCCTTAAAAGTACTAATATTATCTAAATCTAAAGGTCATTGGCAACAAATGAAATGTAGACTGGAGAACCTCATTTATCTGCTACCCTCAGAAGTTGTTTAAACCAGTTAACTATTTGAATAACAAATGTATAAAGACAGTTAAACTAATTGAAATGGCACTAGTATACACCCTATATCACAGACAACACTGTGTAGGCTTAATTGGAGCTAAAAGTATTTCACCGTGATTTCAGTGTGCATACTAAATAAAGTTTCACTTGCTTCACTAGCTTGTTTTCTTCTAATGCCCATCCACTCAATTAGCAAATCAACACAAATGGTGAAATAAATGAGGTTCCACTAAATGAAAATTATAAAACAAACTAAGAATTGTTGGTAGTATAGAACGGTCAAATTTCTCCTTGTGCATGTTGCATGTAATGCATTTGTAGATCCAGCTCCCGGGGAAGAGAGCACCCGCATATCATGCACTGGAGAAGTCGTTCTTGGGCAAAAGGCAAACGGGAGCCAAGTTTGTGAGTTTCTGTCCGTTGGGAAAACTGAGGTAGGGGCAGGGTCTGTGGCATGTGTGGCCTCTCGCTCATTACTGCCTGTGGTGCAAAAAAAATATTTGGGTGTGGAGGTCTTGAGAGTGAGCCAACTGCGACAGAGTGAAGAGGGTGTGGGCCAGGCAGAGCGAGAGGAGGGAGCGGAGCAAGGGGAGCTGAGAAAAAAGGAGATGGCTGATTTATGATTATTTGAGTGGCTGTTACCATTGGCTGTTGCTGCAGCTCCTGTCCAGTCCCTGGTTTAAGTTGCCCAGTGAGCAGCGTTTGATTACTTTGGAAGCCCCATACATGCGTTCCCAACCCCTGGCCAAAACGATGAGGCTCGTATTGAATAGAGAGCGGAACCTTTTGTGTCGTTGTCTGACTCTGTACACTGGGCCAGGCAGATGACACCTGCTTTTGCTGCAGCTGAAAATCTTGAGCATTTACTAATTTTTCAGGGTTTACAGTCTTTGGAATTCCTGGTGGTGTCTGTAAGTTCCACAATGTGCTACCTACCCCGTGGGAAACAGGAGTTGACATTGGCATAGCACTGCTTTGGTCTATCTGAGCTGAGGTGGAGACACCTGGTAAGCCTGAAACCCACTGCTTTGGCAGCTCACAGCCGTTCCATGGCTTCTCTGTATGAATAACAGTCGACGGTATAACTTGAGGATTAATTAGGTCCCACACTCTAGTGTCCTCTTTTTTAGTATGTGTGGATGGTTCCTTTTGTATGGACACTGGGACACCTGCCCATCGTGGCAGTTGAAGCTCTTGACCCAGCTTATTTGGAGAGCTTTGTGAATTTGCCAGAAGAGCAGGTCTGATGCTCCACAGAGCCCTGCCGTCTATGAAAGACAACGGAGTAGAAAAACCATGTTGCAGAGAGCTTGTGGAAGCCAGCACTGTGGAGGTGGGCGGGCTACTCCAAATAACGGGCTTGGGCAGCCTTTGCTGCTCTATCTCACTCACTGTGGAAGCGCTGGATTTTTTTGACACGGCTACCATGTGGGAGCTGACAATAGCAGGTGCACTGTCCTTCATGTGAGATGACTCTGAACTCAGAGCAGATGTGGGGCCTGACTGAGTTATCAAAGGGCTATCTGGCCAGCCTGGACCACTCTGATGGTGCTGCTGCTGACCCTGATTTGATTGGCTGTCAAACTGGTTCTGCTGAGGTGCTGCGTGTTGCTGCTGTGGTACGGGCATTACCTCTCCGCCATCCACCTTCCACTGCACCGGTTGTGGGTGTAGCTCTGGCAGCCACGGCTCCTTTTGTACATCCATGTGTGACGAGAGCATCGACTGCTGTGGCTGGACCACCCTTCTGTGCAACTCGGCATCGCTCAGTGCAGAAACTGAATACGGAGACAACTGAGGCCCAGAGCTCCCCACTGGTTGGGACCAGCCCATTATGGGCCTCCCCCCTCTCCTCCCCCTGCTACCCCTGCCTCTAATCCTAGCGCCCATCGGGAAAGAATTATACTGGTTCAAACCCTGGCGTTTGCGAGAATGGATCTTTTGGTGTACTAGCAGGCTACTAAGCCAAGAAAATGTTTTGTGACACTCATCACATTGATGAGGTCTCTGCCCTGTGTGTGTGTTAATGTGATCCCGAAGCAGATAGGCTAACGCAAAGCTCTTGTCACACTGGTTACACTTGTGAGGTTTGTCACCATTGTGTGATAACATATGATGCTGCAGTTGGGTCTTGTCGCTGTAGCCTTTGCGGCAGCTGGTGCAGCGGAATGGTTTTTCCTGATGCAGCTTTTGATGCGTTTTCATGTTCTGATGGAAAGCAAATTTCTTTCCACAGTCTGGACATGTGTATGGCTTATTGCCTGTATGGATGATGAGATGTTGCTGTAAGTAGCTACTAAATCTAAAGCCCTTGTCACACACTCTGCACTTGTAAGGCCTGTCCTTAGAATGTACGCGAATATGCAGCTCTAACACTGAGGAGTGGCGGAAGGTTCTTCCACACTCTAAACACTTGAACTTATTGATTACGCCATCACTTTCCTTTTTCCCCTGTACATTATCACTGCTTAATGGAGTATGTTGAATTTGAGGCGGTGTTGCTGCCTTTTCTAAATATTTAGCTACAGAATTGTGTCCACTCCTAATATGACGATCTAAACTGGCTTCCTCACGAAAAATGCTTGGGCAGTGGGGACAGGTGTATCCTATGTCCCAATGGTTGCTTTTCCCATTTGGGGGTCTGGGGGTTCTCTCCAGTGTTTCATACTCAGCTTCGTGAATAAGCATGTGGGCTCTCAAGTCAGCTGGTATTAGGTATGTCAGGGGACAGAGGGGGCAGTTGAATGTGCCTTTTTGTTCCTCGCTCTGGTGTTTGTTCTCTTTACCCGGCCCTCTGCCTGCCTCCTGTGCGGATGCCGGCTTGCTGGGCTGCTCAGTTGAGGAGTTGGTTTGGCGCAGTCTGTGCTGGCGGCAGTGTGCCTTCATGTTTTGTGCAAAGGCAAATGTTTTACCACATTCAGGGCAGCGGAAGGGCTTCTGGCCTGTGTGCAGAAACTGATGTTGATGGAGGAGGCTGCTGTACTTGAAAGTCTTGCCGCAGATGTTGCACAAGTGAGAGCGTGCGTTATCCGTGTGCTTGCGGCGGTGATCTTCCATGACAGAGTAGTGTTTAAAAACCAAGCCGCATTCTGGGCATTCATAAGGTTTCAGGCCGGTGTGAGATCGCTTGTGGTAGCGCAGTGCCATGCTGTCTGGGAAGGTTAGGTTGCACTCTTGGCATGTATAGATGCTATCACAGGAGTGGAGCACCATGTGCTTGGTGACCGCCATCTTTAGCTGGAACTCTTGGCGGCACAGGGGGCAGCGGAAAGGCTTTTCAGCTGTATTGCAGCAGTTGTGGTCCCTCAGCTTATCCACTGTGGAGAACACCTTCTCACATTCTGCACATTTAAATGTACCCTCCTCCTTTTTTGGAGAAGCAAGCTGTTCCTCCTTCTCTTTGTGTTCAATTTTGTGTTTGATGAGGCTGCTACGGTGCTGAAAGCTAAGGCCGCATTCTTTA